GACAAAATCCATAGCATTTCTTTTTTTGACATAATTTATAATAATAATAATAATAATAATAATAATAATAATAATAAAGCTTTCTAGTTTAGAATTGTGCTGCGTTAATTCAAGTTATGCGAACAGGTTTTTCTGTTCAGTGGCATCATGGGAATTCCCTGGGTTTCTGCTGGGTGGTTGTGGGTGGGTCCTCCCCCACAAAGGTGCCTCTGGTTATTTGGACTAAAAGTGACAGGGGACAGGGATAATGGGTGGATGAGGAAACAATCAAAACATCATAGCTGGCTTCACTTTTCATTGTAGCATTAAACCATTTTAGTTTTTTTTTTTAATGATGTAATTTGATGTTTGAAAAAAATTTTGGTACTAATTTTCAGTCTATTGTAAAAGGTGAATACAATATCACATTTCTGGAAGAAAGAAATATTTTATTTTCACTGTTACAGAGGATAACCATGAAATAATTGTATGGTTATCCAGGACGTCCATGGCTCCAGCAACATCCTGTAAGAAATGATGTAGAATGAAGAGCCTGTAATTCAATCAGCAATGACAGATCAAGTTAAAGGACCAGTGTGTAAGATTTAGTGGCATCTAGTGATGAAGTTGCAGATTGCAACTAATTGAACACTGCTGGCGTCTGTGTTTGACCTGGGAATAAAAAAGGGCTACAGTGGCCACAAAACTCGCAAAAAACGCTACTTGAAAAACTCTAGTACCGAGCTACTGTAGAAACGTGGCGGTGGAAGGTGACCCGTGTCGTCTGTAGATATAAACATCTCATTCTGAGGTAACAAAAACGCAACGATTCCTATATTCAGGTAATTACACATATAAAAACATAGTTATGTATATAATATTCCAACGTTGAATATCCAAAGGCATGAAAAGTAGCACGCACACAGATTTCCAGGATATTAGTCAACTTTGTCCTGGAAATCTGTGTGCTACCTTTTATGCATTTGGGTGTTAAACCTGGGTATTCAGCATTACCCAAACATTACTTTACTTTAGCACCACAAAAAGTACTGGGAAGGCGCATCCTCTCTAACGTCTAGCATTTTATATCCCATTTGTGCCAGCAAATCCTCCTAAATGTTACACACAGGACCTTCAAGTATATGGAAAATCATTAAAATGACAATGAGAGTAAAATGTAATATTAGTGCCTACCTCCAATGTTAATATTTAGGTGCAAAACTCTGTAAATGCAGATATAATTGTTAGATTCAAAAATAAAATTCCTATCATCTTCTCCACTAAAAATGTATATTATCTAAATGACAAACCTTTCTCTTGGGGTAGTCTGACACTTGCCAACATGCTATGACAGGCTGCGTTTTTTAAAAATGTTGTCACCACCGCAGGGTCGACATCAGTCTGACGAGCTACAGTGAAAGGCAATTGACAAAAAAAAAAAGGTGCAGTAGACTTTGGTGGAGTTTGGTTGCTGTCAAACATATACAACGATCAATGTTGTGTGTGTTTATTTAACGTATCTTGTGGGAGTTGTTATATAAAGAAATAGTTCACACTGAAATGAAAGCTGGCTCACCTTTATGCCAAACAAAAGACAGTTTTTACCTCGTGATTTCCTGGATTTTGCTGCAGTCACCAGTTAGCTCAGTAGGTTAAAGGTACAAGGCTGAACATTGGATTTGAGGGGCCATCAGAGTAATGATTCGACTACACTTGCCTTAAGTTAAAACACAGTACAGGGCGGCTGCTGCTGAGGGGTGGACTATATTAGTAAAAGCTAGCTGGTGAAAAAGACAGACAAACCTAAACTAAAGCTTAAATTTATTTAGCTGATGTTTCTCAAGCTGTCATCTGTAATTGAAGAAATATAATTTGATGAACCATCATCTTGGTAATTCAGTTTGTTAAAGCAGCAGCTAAATCCCATTGTGATTCCTGCTAAAGATAACTAGCTTAGCTGAGTAGCACAAACTGCCATCTCAGCTTTTGACTTTTGTCAAATTCACATGATGTGGTGTTAAACTACCTTTAAAATGCTTTAAATTGTAGCTTCATTTATTTCAATATACTGGAAATAGCAAAAGTAGAAAGTCAGACAGACAGACACTAGTGAACAAACAATGAATAAGAAAAATTAAAGAATGGATTTTCTTTGTAGATGAGTGTATCTGCATTTTTAAGGTCTTCTAAGTAGACCTAGTAAAATGGCCCTGGAAAGTACTTAATCAACCTAAACAGACATAAAATAAAGGCATGACAACATTTTCTTAACTTAACTGCTTCCTACTGCTCTCACACATATTATGCAGACCAAGTTGTTTGCAGATATTTTATGGATATTTGCAGATGTAATAGTTTGGGTAAGGGCTGAAATTAGTATTATTTGGGGTGAACTGATGGCTTACCATATAGCATGAATCTATTTAGGGAGTCCTCTGTGTCTGTCTGGCTCAGAGGTGGTTCTACTTCTTGGAAAATTATGCACTCAGGGCAGTTGGCCCACTTGCCAGTCCAGAGGAGGTTCCTCCGATGTGTCCTTCCTGGATCAGTACAACAAGACACAAGCAGCAACAGTAGCAATAGTGGTGAGTGACACAAGACAAAGTCAACATACTGCTGTTTTCTCTCAAAGGCTAAGGCTAATCATTAACAGGAGTGTCTTTGGTATAAGGCTGCTTTCTCTTTGTTGATCAGTTGACCAACAGACTTTAATTGTTTTTGTCAAGCCCAGAAAACAAAAGCACAGCATTAACAGTGACCTTTCTCACATTTTGGGAAATACACTGTTTGCTTTCTGGAAGCCAGTTAGATAAGGCTACAGCCAGAAGCTGTTTTGTTTAGCATAGCACAAAGACCTGGAAACAGGGGAAAAAAGTTACCCTGGCTCTATCAGATGCTAACCTCAATCAAAATTCACCAAAATCCACCAAATAACAAATCATGTGCTGTTGTTGCTGAATGAGGTACTTTCTCTGGCCAGTTGGTATCCACCTGTTGAAATTCCATTCGTACAGTAGGCTTTATTGTTGTTCATCATAGAAATATATAAACTGTAAATTTTGGAAATAATCATTGGCAAGTGTGTCCACAAATTCTTTTTTTGTTCTGTAGGCTTTTGTAGTTCACCATAGCAATAAAAACTGTACATTTTGGAAATAATCTTTGGTGAGTTGTAGTCCAGTCAACGTGAAGAAAAGGATGCTCTCTACTTTACACCACCAGGGGCAGAACAGTTTTATATCAAATGCTATCAAATGTAACACATTAGTTTAGATCAGTTTTAAAAATAATGTGTTAAAACGGCAAAGTTAATTAATATAACTTATTGATATGTTATGGCCACATTTTAGACAAAGTAATAAACCTAAGTTTAATAAAAAAGATGAAAAAAAGAAGAAGAAAAGATTTTAAGTTAATAAATTCTAATGGCAGCTTCAGATATTAACTGCTTCACTAATGTGCCACAATAATAAATGTTTTTGAGTTCAAATATCTTAATTTGGGGGCTTTTCAAAGCAAATTGATTTACGTGATTGTTTGCAATTGCAAGTTTGGAACTATATTGATTGAATGTTTTTGTGAATTTAATTTATTCAGAGTCCTGACGTTTTAAAGCTGAAACCCATCCAAAAGTAATTTCAGTAGAGAACTTTAGCAGTACAAATGGTCTAACTGAATTACACAAGGGTTTTCCCCACCCAGCTAATAATTCATTTCTGGGAAAATTATTGAATCCCTGTAATGTTTTGGTGTGAAGATGTTTCTTTATTTTAACACTTGCACAAAGTTCCCAAATAAAATTACCTTTCAGAAACCCATACCTATTTATGTCTTCTGTGTGTGTGTGTGTGTGTGTGTGTGGCATCTGAGTGCAGATGTTACTGTAGTTACCCTCCAATTCCAAATCCTCCCTCTCAGGATGTATATGATAGATCCAGGTCTTTTTGGTGCAGTGATCTCCTCTAAAAAAAAAAAAGTGAAATTAACATATTTAGCATGAAGCGGTTTTAGATTTCATTATAATGACACAAGATAAACATGTGATCGAAACTTGGATTTTTTTAAACAAACTTTCACACCTTTGCACTTTCTGAATGTCACTTCCCTAATTATCTGTCTATTTAGGATCTTGGGTTTTCTTGTTTCTGTTGCTGTCTTGTTCTTGTTCTGCTGAATGAGTAATTTTACTTTTGACTTTAAAATGGCAACTAGTAAATGGACTGCATTTACATAGTGCCTTTTTAGTCTTCTGACCACTCAAAGCACTTTAAACTACATGCCACATTCATACACTGATGGCAAAGGCTCATCAGAAGACACACTAATTCATTCATACACTGATGGCAGAGCGTCTGGAGCAATTTGGGACTCAGTATCTTGCTCAAGGACACACATGGTAAATGGGCTGTACTTGTATAGTGCCTTTCTAGTTTTCCAACCAAGTGTTTTGACACTACATGCTGCATTCACCCATTAAAACACATTCATACAGAGTTGGCAAAGGCCATGTCAGACCGAAACTAATTTTCACACCGTTCAGTATCTTGCTTAAGGTTCTGTAGATCACACCGCCAACCTTCTGAATAATCAATGACCCACTCTACTTCCTGAACCACAGTCGCCCACTCAACCACTACAGTTTAACTGGATATGCGTCTGTACCTAACAGAGTATTTTTATTTATGTTATTGGTACTTTTATTTAAGTAAACGTATTGTGAATGAATAAAGTGTAAAACTGTTTTTAATTAAAGCAAACTACTTCTGTGCTAAGACTTAATAAACATCTACACTTTACTCTAGTCTTATATTTAACTGCTATATTCACAAAAGAAGTGCATATCAGATCATTTATCACCCTGCACTTCATGTCAAAACCACCATTCTAAACAATAGCTTCATATTTTTGTATATCAATATTCTTGCTACATCTTATTCTAGTTTTGGAGAATGGTCTTTTGACCTCATCGTTACTTGCATAATAAAATATGCAGACATGGTGTGGGTGTTAAGAAACTCGAACTTCCTTAAAGAAAGAGGTCAATGAAGATCCAGGTGTCGAAACATTGGTCATTTAATAAAGTTTGTTGCCCTACACTGTTCTCCAGTGTACTTTATATATGTGTCTATTTCCGTGTGAGCATTTGCTGCCTCACATGCGCATATTTCCAGTCAGCAGCAGGGTGTCATTGGCTGTCTTCTCCATGGTGAACCAAATGTTGTCCAGTGCTCTGAAGTTCTGGATGTCAGCCTCTTTGCGACTGACTGCTGCTTTAAAGTACCACTTCCCAAGGTACTAAAACAGACGGAGAAAGAGAACGGTTGCACAAGAGTGTGGGGTGGTGTCAACAGTAAGAACGGAACATATCTCAAGATATAAACCCACAACTTGAAAGACCACTCATGGAAAAAACAGAGGGGGTGGAAAGTTTGTCTGGTGTTTATCTCGGTAAATCTTTTTATATAAAGATATACCAGTGCAACGTAAGACACGCTTAACCAGAAGCAATTCATCAACATTGGATTGAGATTAAATGCATGTATCACAAATTACACATTTGTCATAAAATGTTTTCCTGTGAAACCATCCAAATCAAAAAGGCTAGCAAAAGAAGGTTATGGTTTGCATTTGATGATAAACAGAAAATCCAAATTTTGTTTCTCACCTGCTGATGTTCAACAATGTTGACAGGCAACTGCTCAACAAATGCGCAAGGAACAATGGCCTGATACAACAAACTATATAAATACAGGAAATATGACCACGCTTCACACAACATACTTGCAGTTGCTGAGAGCTAATATTTGACGATAAACCTGGTTCAAATGTCTGTTAATCCTCAGAGCACCCGTGTCAGTTCAAAAGAGTGTGGGTGTCTGTAAATTATTACCATGCAATGCTGCAATACCCCTGATCTTTAAAGGAGACAATGGGTTCAATAAGGCAGTATCTCTGTCTCTTTAATATAAAGACTCAAGATTTAGGTTAAATGCATTTGTAGCAGATGAATCATTCTTTTCCACAGAGAGTTTTGCTCAAGTTCCAAAATGTGCTCAAACTCACTGAGAAGCAGTCTTTGTGAGGCCTACTGACTCATCATCATCCTGGAGGAGGAGGCGGTTTCTTTTAAACTTCTTCAACAAAGCAACAGTGAAAGTCTGCTAACATGCTACAACCTCAAGTACCTGTTTCGGAAACGCTTAAAAAACTGAGAATTGCTAATTTGTTTGGTCTGTCCTGACTGAAGAAATCCCACACTCTCTGTCAACATACATCTACTAGAAATCATTAACTACTTGTTTTAAGTTAACGGTGACTCATCCATCATCCTACACTAGTGCTTGTCTGTTATTTTCTTGCATGATACTTCAGTCTTATGGTCCATAAAAAGCCAGAAATGTAAAACATTTCACACAGCCTAAATTACCAGACTCAAATTGCTTGTGTGTCTAAAAAACTAAAAGATGTTTAGTTTAATATTTTATAAAACTAGAAAAACATTACTTAATTTAATCACATTAGTTATGAAAATAGTTACAGATTAATTTTGTTTTGATTAGCTAATTGATTCACTGACAAATCGTCTCAGCTCTAACATGTTATCAGGAGGTAAATGTGAGAAAAGGTTATACTTGTGTTCCACACCTACTTCCACAAGGGGGTGTCAAACAACAAGCATCATCACACCTGTATTAACTTCTCCAGAAATCACAAATTTGCAATGTTTACAGGCTCCCTCTGATGATCGTGGGTGCTGGTGTTATCCGAATGAATCACACCGGACAAAGTTTGGTTTGTTATCTTAATGGAAACTGACATTACAGAAACAGATCACTGATGCAGTGTAAAATTACATTTACATTTCTGTTTCATTGCAATCATTTCCACCAGTAGTACTTCTAGTTCCTGCACACAATTGACTGACTCTGACTTTTATAAATCTTCATCCTCTTTATTTTATTGAGTCCATTTGAACTTTTTTGTTGTATTTCTTGGCATGGGAACCTCACAGTGCAAAACAGAAATCATTTGTCTAACATTGTTAGCGTAGCAAGCAAAAGTATTGGCACACAGAAGCTTTCTTTAGCAGATAACCAGGACAGATAAGTTTTGCAAAAAGGCCCAGTCGATCTTAGCCAGCTTTGACCATCCACTCTCAGAGGGAGTGCGAGGGAAGGCCCATCGATAGCGAGGAGGGCCCATCGGCAGGCAGTCAAGGACCTCTCCAGAGCGGCTGAAAAGGGGAGTCAGTGGCTGTGGATAAAGAGGAAAGACTCCACCTGGCCCTCAGGTAAGTAGATGGGATCTATGGGGTGAACCGTGGACGCTGGGATTCACTGCTGAACCCTCTGAGGTGTCGTGGCCTATCAGCGAAACATCTAGGAAGGAGGGCGGCCACTTGATAACCAAAAGGATGCCATCACTCACTTGAACCATCCCAAGTCTTGTAAAGTGTAGTCTTAGTAGTGTCTCAGGAATGCAATAAGGGATATCAACATCTAGTCCTACACAACAGATCTGATCATCCACTTTCAGAGGGATTTGCTCTTTTCGTTGTGCTTTTGCTTGCTTGTTTTTGTTTTTATCATTGGTTTTGTTTGTGCTTTCTCTTTAAAGCACTTTGGGAAATAAATATGCTATATAAATGTGCCTTGCCTAATGTCCCAGGTCCCCTTGTATGTTATGTTATGCATGTCCTGTACGGTTGGGACAATGAAGATCTGAACCAAACTGATTGTAAATATTTAACTAAAACGAGGTGAGCAGAACCTTTTCCCCTCTGACATGCAGAAAACTACAACATGCAGAGAACTCCTTCCTTTGTGAAGCTTATATTTTATTCATGTTGAGACTTTGTTGTTGTTGATTCAACTCTACTTGATGCTGTACTTTGCAATACTGTTAAAGTTGAACAACAGCTGAGTTATTTTTGTGCTTTATTTATGGTTACAGACACAGCAAATCTCATTATTCAACAGCAAAATCCATGTAATGTAAACAACCTTCCCATACGAGGTTAAATACAGGATTTGTTTGGTTGCCCATAGATTCTACAAAGTGATATTTCACACACACATTAGTGAGTTAATCAAAGGACCACCAAAAACAACACCATGTCTTAAGATTTTTCTTTATTGTTTAATCATATTACTGATGAACAAAGTATCAATAAGTGCCACATAGTTATATGTATTTATTATACAGTTTTTCTGTCTTTCAGGTGAAGAAGGTGTGGACAGGAGCGGGACAGGACGGCATGAAAATCCAGTTGGCAAATAAAGGTTACCTAAATATAACCCAGTTCTAAAGTGTGTGGTTATGAATACTGAAAAAGACAGAAATGTGGACACCATAATATGATCTAAGTATATTGTTATTATTATTATAAAATTAGGCCAAGCAAAGGGATTGCTTAACTTTTAACTCTAACATTGCTGAAGATGTATTTAAGAATGACTAAGAGCCAAACTCTCAAGTAACACTACTGAAGGTCAATTCTCATTGTTATCTGCAGTTTTCTTAGGAACCTATCTCAATGCTACAACAGTTTAGTTATAAGTGAACAATTCAATTATCTTCATAAATTCTCTTTCCATTCCTGTCCCTATATGTAGCGACACGGGGCCGATTTGGGTATGTGCAGTAGCTTCTTGTTCCCCTCTCTCTGGTGGCCCGGCAGATGCACCTACGACTCCCCCTTCAGCACTGAAACCAGGTCTCCACTCTCCTTCAGCTCCTTGAGTATGTCCAAACCTCCAATCAGCTCTCCTTTCACGTAGAGCTGGGGGTAGGTCGGCCAGTTAGAATATGTCTTGAGCCCCTGACGGACCTCTTCATCCTGCAGGATATCAAAGGTGTCGTAATGCACCCCGGTACCATTCAAGATCTCCAGTGTCTGCCTGCTGAAGCCACATCTCGCAGCCTCCTTGTTGCCCTTCATGAACAGCATGACTGGGCTCTGGTTGATGATGGTCTTCAGACGGTGCTCCAAGGTGACAGCCTTCGGGCAGGTGTTCTCCAGCTCCCCAGACTCAGCCAGCTCCTTCACGATGTCCAGTCCTCCCACCAGCTCTCCGTTCACGTACAGCTGAGGGTAGGTGGGCCAGTTGGAGTAGGTCTTCAGCTCCTGTCGGACCTCCTCGTCGGATAGGATGTCAAAGCTGCTGAACTGGATGTTGTGCTCCTTCAGCAAGGCCACTATCTGCCGGCTGAAGCCACAGCGGGGCTCCTGCGAGGACCCCTTCATGAAGAGCATACAGGGGGCCGCGTTGATCAGCTTCTTCAGCCGCTGGTTCAGGTCTGTCGCGGGGCTCGGCGCAGCTCCACCCGGACTCCCGGTGACTGCCAAGCGCTGTACCTTCTTGGTCAGCTCCGGAGCATGCGCCCCGTCCAGGCGGTCCACCTTCTCGCCACCCTTGAAGAAGAGAAAAGTGGGCACGGAGGCGATTTCATACCTCTCCGACACCTCCGGCACCGCTTCCGCCTCAAGCTTCACAAACGTGGTGTGCGTGTGCTCCTTGGACAGCTCGGCCATCACGTCGTTCATCTGAGCGCACTGAGGAGCCCACGCCGCCTGGAAATGCACCACGGTCAGGCATTTTCCAGCTTTGGCTAAGAAGTCTTCAAACTGCTGTTGACTTGTCGCCTCCACGAGATTCGCCATTTTTTTCTTTTACCCCCTCCTCCTCCTCTGCTGGTGCAGCGATTTCCGGCGGTCGCCTCTTGACGTCGCTTCCGTTCAGCCTGGTAGCTTGTAGCAACCGGACCGAGCTGCATGTTATTTGATGATAAGAAACAGCTGCATACACTGGATAAGTTGACAGGATAGCGAGACTTTTTTTTGTTAAGGTAACCCGTTAAAAAGCACACCCAAACAGCGGGCTCGAAGTAGGGAAAAAAAAAAAAAGAAATGCCGTGTTGTCTCTGGTGTTGATTGGTGTATTGTAACGTTTTAGTTTATTTAGCATTAGCTTAGCCTCCTTTACTTGTTAGCTTCCGCCTGGTTTCCAGGTGTAAAAGCTAGGCTAGCTAACGGGAGTTGGTTGTCGTTATCTGTAATTGCTGTTAGCGTTATTTATATTACTGTTCAGATGTTCTCGGTTAATGTTAAAAGTTTTAAATGCCCCGTGTTGTTGACTGACCCCCCGCAGGAAACAGCTAACCCGCTTAGCTGCTAGTTAACGACGTTACGTTAACGTTATGACGCAAACTGACGCTAACTGACTTAACGTTAACTGACT